GCGAAAGGGCCCCGGCCCGTCGGTCTCTCTAGTCAAACTACAGTTGAACTGCATTTTCACTATAGATCAGCTAAGTGCCCTACCCTAGTTTGCTCTGTGGAAGGAATGTCCTCTGACAGAAGCAGTTTACGACTAAAGTTGTCAATGTGTGAAAAGTATCTAATGACAGTCTACGTTTTCAGATTACACATACACTGACGACCATAGATACACCATTGTCAAAATGAAGTCGCAACTGGAGTCGCAACTGTAGACCGTAACTACTAACATGTGTGCAGGTCTGCATACAAAACTAGTATGGAGTGTCTGCATTTCAGAAGAGCACTCAAAAATGGAAATAATTTAGATTCTCAGAGTGGCGATGGACTACGATATAACTGCGTTTTTGTGAGTGCAGTTCGACCACTGCAGTTTAGACTATACTTTAACTTGTGATCCTTCCACCCGGGTTAACACTCACACCATACTCAAGGTCTGACACACGAGCGAAAGCGGCGCGGCCGAGACAGTGCTTCAGCCCGGGCGGAGGGTGAGGGGCAGGGAGACACCTGGCGGGGAACGAATTTTTTTTTTCCTGAAGGTCGCGTCGCTGGGCCAGCGCACCGTCGCACGCATGAGGCGGGTCCAGCAGACCCACCACGGGTCAGACGGGCCGGGGCGATTAGCAGTATGTACACGCTATCCCAAGACCACATAGCGTACGGCGGCGGGTTTGGCTGACCCGACTGCCATGCGAACATACGCATGCCTAGTTGATCAATCGCTTGGGCTGGTCGGGCCGGGTAAACGCGATTTTAGCACTCGGGTCTATATTTTGTTCCTTACCCAGCCATCCGGCGCCTGTATTAAAAGGTCAATACGATTTTTGTAGAGTGTAGCCTCTGAAGTTACAGACTTTGACCTTCATTTCGATACGGCTAGGACGGGGACGGGGGCTTCCAATTTGGGGCCTTCCTGTACGCCTTGATACAACGTCATCATGCAGTACTGGAAAGATGGGAGGAGAGTGTGGGATTAAGTTTGGTTTCTTACAGAATAGTAACGAGACGCTGTTACATCGGATTGTAGAGAAAGTCGTGCAGGTGGCAAGGGAGCTATCCATGAGATACCGAGGTGCAGCAGAGAGCACTCAAAGGCAGCACACCTGTAGGCGATAAGCATTGCACAGCCGGACTGGTGCTTATATAACCCGCAACTACAGTATTCAGTCAGCGCAGCAACTATGAACTGCGCGGTCATATTACTGTTCTTCCTACTTGCTCGGCAGAGTCCCGCGTGCGCACATGCGAACACGGAGGATGAACTGCTGCAGCATCTTCGCACCTTCCTTGCCGCCTCGCCTCCAAAAACAACTTCCACGCGGCGTTATGGGCGTCTTTCCGAGGCAGATCAGGTAACAATGCTTGCAACGAAGAATTCACACGGATAATTGGTGAAATATGGTTTAAGAAGCGCTATGCCTTCTTGTCAAAACGAATAGTTACGTGTCCTACGTAACTGTCGGGTTCAACTTAAAACTGGACGCCGTTATATTTTACTTTCACTAGAATTTTCCAATCTCATTTAAAATCTTATAAGTGCCCCAGTACAAAACAGATTGTCTTTTGGACGTAGTTTCGAAGGATTAGGGTGATACTTCAAGCATCCTTGGCGCATCCGCTTTCGAGTCTTGTGTAAGACGTATTGAAGTCATTACTTATCCATCGTCAAGACCTGTGTGAGACATAGCTGATACGACTAGTTGTGTCTCAACAATGTATTCACGAAGGCTGCTTTGTCTCGCTTTTCACTAAATCGGACAGACGAAAAAAGTGGGAGAAGACGGGCCCCAGGGAGGAGGTGAACCACTGACTATTGCACTAGAAGTCCTGCTCGCTCTCCACTTGCCGATAGTGGAGGGACTCAGACGGATGTGTCGCTAGACGTACTGGTCCCGCACAGAATTAGGCTGCTCAGATTTGATGGAGACACCTTTCAGACATCCTTGATGCATCGCACACTTAAGACAGTGGTCGAGTGCGCGGCGCCTGATGGATCAGGCATGTCTGAAAGGTGCCTCCAGCATATCTGAGTAGCCTAATTCTGTGCGGGACCAGTACGTCTAGCGACACATCCGTCTGAGTCCCTCCACTCTGGCCCAGTGGTGAGCGAGCAGGACTTGCAGTCCGATGGTCTGTGGTGCGCCTCCTCCCTGTGGCCCGACTTCTCTCACTTCTTTCGTCTGTCTGATTGAGTATGGCTCAAAGATGTCTTCAGCGTGTCTGAGGGGAGGCTAAAGAGCGAGACAAAGCAGCCTTCGTGAATCCATTGTTGTATGTGTCGTATGAGCTATGTCTTACACAGGTCTTGACGATGGATTAGTAATGACTTCAATTCGTCTCACACAAGACTCGAACTCGAAAGCGGAAGCGATATGGATGCTCGAAGTATCACTGTAATCCTTGGAAACTACGTCCAGAAGACAATCTGTTTTGTACGAGCAATACGACTGCAGAACAATGGACTGTGACGGTCGCCTCAGCATTTGTGCAATATCATGTCTTAATGTGTATCTTTTAAACTCCAGGACACGTGGCCCAGTGGGCTCCTAATTGGAGCTGGGGTGTCGGCTTGTCAGGCTGAAGGAGCGTATAACCTGTACGGTAAGAAGTGAACTTGTGACTTGTAACTAAGTTTGACTATTACCAATTTAACATATGCAAGCTCGAGTAGTCTTTTTCGTCAACGTCTAAAGCTATTTTGACATTTGAAAATGG